AGCTAGTTGATTAATAACTGCATTTCACAATGGAGCAACCATTGTAACACCTGACTGTGTTCATGTCAATACGTATTGTGTCAATACGTATTGTAGGTTATCAAAGGTAAACCAGGTTACACTAACAAAATCTTCCCTTGGTACATGATTTTCTAAACTAGACAGAGATGGTAGACGTCAGCTGCCAAGACTTCAAAAAAGCCTTTGCTTAGGTATCACCAGGAAATTCAGATAAATTGGAGCACATGGTGATTAACAAAGAACTGTTAATTAAATAATTTCCCCCAGCTAAAGACAAAACACTAGTTCTGTGTTGAAGAGAGAAATACTGAACCAGCTGCAGAAAAGGGACGTACTGGCTCCCCAGGTCCCAAGGGCCGCTCCTCCAAGACAGATTCTGAGAACTGACATGTTCAGTCTACACAATCAAGAATGGGTACTGTTTGCTTTCTATAAATATACAGGAAAGATAACACCTGTGAGAGAGAGGAGCTATTTGAGAGCAATGTTGGCACAGAAACAAATGAGGTTCATGGGCTTCTGGTGGGGCTGCTTTCAGTCTCCCTGCAGTCCTTTTGGCTAGCTGGGCAGTACAAAGAGGTGAAAAGCGGCTGCGTGTCCTTCCCCGGCAACTCTGGCCATACAGCCTCTTCCAGGTGTGCTTTTCATGGGTGCTGCACACCTGGGAACAGTGGCTGCTTTTTGAAAAGGCAGGAGGAGGGAGGTTTCCCTGCAAAGCGTATTTATCCAGCTGCTACACAAGAGTCACAATTTGACCCTTAAAACTGAAGAATGTGAAGCCAACTTGCACAAATTAGGGATGCTGGGGGTTGGGGTTTGAGGGTTTGTTCTGTGCTTTAACGATCCCACAGTCACGGAGGAAAAAAATGCACCAATGCATTCTGATGCTCTTTCGGCTTCCAGCTCAGCTAAGGATGATTGTGGCACAATCGATTCCAGATGCCGAATTTCCGGCAGTGGCTGACACACACGCACACACACACAGCTCCAGAATGCCTCAGCTCCGTGGGTCCAGACATAATCACAGACTACTACAGATGGTGGAGACTGACACCATGAAAAAGGGAGACATTACTAACTCCAGAACTCATTTCCCCATGGACCCAGACTAGCTCACTGGCTAGTAAAAGCTTTATATATTTTTATTGGTAGGATATTAGTAAGAGCACATCCTCCTCCTGTGTTATGTACAAAGCAGCTCTGTTCACTGTGCTGGGAGCACCCGGTTCACAGTGTGTGGAGCAATGTCACTTCTAGCCCCATGTCATTGCAAACAGTATCAGACTCAGGCCTCCTGAGTCTGAGGTGTAATTCAGTAATAAAAATGGTTGGTTAACCTGTTGCTGGTTGTAGGCACAAAGCTAATGACCTGTTTCCAATTACAAATATCCCAGAGACAGCTAACGATGATTAATTTGTTGCTGCGGAGTTAGTCTTTTATGACGTGTTACTATTGCAGGTATGAGTGTGGCTCACTCATGACACCTGTTCCTCATGATAACATCTATCACTTACTACATCTTTGTAAGTAAATTAGAAGGGTAACCATCACATATAAGTAATACTTATTCCACATTTCAATGTGATGAATGACACTAGGGATCAACTGCCAATGCATAATCAAGACATACAGGATCAAAAACTCTGGATATGTTTTGTGTCTTATGTTTTGTAAGACTGCAGCCTGGTATCAATAATGAGAAACAATGACACAGTAGCATCTCTCTAGTGCGTTCAGGAAGACCTTCTCTGTTACTCCCACACAATACAAATCAAAGCCTCTGCTGCAGACAGGAGATCCAGGAATACCCACAGGCATTACATGTAAAAGGCTCTAGCTGAGACTCAGCACAAGGTCAGAGCAAAACTAATTTTATTAAGAATGTTTATGGTTTTTTACTATGAGGATATAACTTGTAATAAAATGTTAGCAACTGCTTTAGGCTGGGATTTTCCAGAAACCTGAGAGGCAGTAGGTCCCCAAATCCCATTGAACTGGTACCCAACTCTTAGAGGCTTCTTTGAGCAGCCCAACCTTCACTCTGATTCATTATCTGTTCCACTTTGTTATGTCTTCATAAGCTTTTGTTTAAGTTATTATGCTCTTAATTTCCTGTTTCACAATCCTTTGGACTTGCCAGCAAAAAATATTAATGCAGATTTCTGAATTTGCATTTGAACATTTAAAGGATTAAAGTTAACCACAGCTTCTCACTGGCTCAAGTTGATCAAGGGTTCAGTCTATACATTTCGGTTTGATCTTTCTCCCAATTAACTGTCATTTGCCAAAGTCCAAGTAAAAAAGGCAACTGGATCTTTACCAGCCGTGTGGACGCTGGGGCAGATCCAGCTCTAGCACAAGCAGGTGCACCACCATTAAACTCACTGAAGATCCACCAGTTACACAGTTGTTTAGCTTGACCCTTAGCAAGGAAGTATACAGACCAAACTAAGGCTGCATTCACTATGAGTAATAAAGACCGGTAGCTCAGATGTCTGACTAATGGCTGCTTTATCAGCACGGTCATTATTTCGTCATACGTGAACAATATTTTTTTCAGTGAGAAACCGTTTCTCCTGGTAGATAGAAAAAAGTAGGTGTAAAACTAGGCATGAGCAAAACATCTGTCAGCGGAAGTATGAGGTTTTTAGGAAAGGCTTGGAGACACTCCGACACCAAAATGTACTTGTAACTGGAGTGCGCCTCCAGAGTCTGCATTACGCAACATTTCTCTGCAGAGTGCCCAGGAGCATAGAGGTAAAAACCCAGTAGTTCTGAAGCACCTAGGCTACCAGGAAACATCTAATTGCAGAGTAGATCAAATGTCTCCAGTGAGACATACAGAACAAAAGTGACATGACCAAATCCCACTGGGCATACGGCCAAGCTGGAGTGAAGATCCCAGTCTCCTAAGCCCCAACCAACGCCGTGTGTCAGCAGCAAGGATGCTGCGCCAGCCGCCAGCCATCCTCCCCAGCCTGGGAATCACTCCCTCTCTCCCAGCCAGAGCTGAGAAAACAGACAGCCCCACACCGAAATGCAAGAAGAGAACAGATCTCTTCTAGGTCATGCCCCAGCTGCATGCATCTCTAGCTAAAATGTTTCTGTGCCCAAGATGGATTTATCTAGAGTTCTCCGAGCAGATTTTGCCTCTGATTTATGCACTGTCCACCCTCACCAGTTTAAGTAACAATGGCATCTGGCTCTTTTATTCTTATTTCCATCACAGATTAGCAAACATCTTAGAAAAGAGTCTGGTGTCAGGATGTTTGTTGGGGTTGGTGGTTTGGTCAGATGGAAATAAGGGAAGTTAATTCTCAAGGAGGGGGTGCGTGTAGTCCTAATTCTTTGTAACCATGTGTCCGGCCAGACAAATCCACAAACATGCAAGATGGTAATAACTGTAGCCAACAGAATTTTTCTAATTATTTTTCTGTGCAGAAAATCTAGTGTTTCTTTACCTCAGATTTGGTCCAAAGTACTTTTAAGTCAGCAGAAAGACTCCCATTGCCTGCAGAGGGCTATGGATCAGGGCCCCGGGACAAGAGGCAGAGCAGTGGCTCCATTTACTTTAGAAACTCCATCTGTGAATGCAACGCTTGTTGAAGAAATCCAATTCCTTCAACATGAAACAGTTCTTACTGCTCTGGTCTGTTGTTCCAATCAGTGCTCCAGCTAGTGACATTTTAGGTGCATAAATAGTTACACAACTGCAAAGCACTCCTGGTGCTGGAAGCAGCATCCCCTCTGCCAGCCTTCCCTTACTCCTATTCCCTTGCGTCTAGCACTGGTTGACAGACCTTTTTGTGAGCTGTAGGTGTGAAAAACAGCCTCGTTCCAAGGGCTGAAGTGGAAACTGGAAAACAAACCAAACTAAATAAAATATTCAAACGAAGCATTTTGTGCGTCTGTAGAAACATGTGCTATTACTCAGAAAGTTTTGAGTTTTTCCTAGACTCTAGGTGGCGAGCACCTTCACTGATGACAGGAATCAGGCAGACCATGCTCTACTGTTGTACCCAACACTGGGGTTTAGACACAAAAGGACCAACTGTTTGCCAGCCCAGACAACATTTGTTACCTCCAATTCTTAGTGGTGGAGCATTTCCATTTCTCCATTTTAGGAAATGTCCTGGAAAGTGGTGACTCTTGAGTTCCTAAAGAGGGGAAAGAGGTCTTTTCAGATGCTGGTGCTAGAGAAAACCAGCTTTGCTGGAAGTTATGGATGAGTCCCAGAAGGGCAGAAGCTCTGTCCAGCTTATACCTTGCGGGACGCACAACAGATACTCTAGGTATCTCGGCGTGAGCGAGATTCATCATGGAAATGGCTATGCTCTAGAGCATAGATTTAGCCTCAGACCTAACGGACCTGCTTGCATTTAATCTAGCCACAGCCCAGGCAGGTGGTCTGGGAATGGCTCTGGACATACACTTCCCTCCCACAAAGCAGCAGGAGGACAGGGGATGGCCTTGGTGCTGCTTTAGGGAGACTGATAAAGTTGTGGATGGCAAAGAAGTGATGGCCTGGCCAGCCTTGTTTAGGTCCAGAGCTGTTACAGAAGGCAGCAGGAGCTGGATGCCCTCTTTCTGTTTGTACAAAGAAGTGACAACTGAAAGTGAACAGAAGGACAAAGCTGCCTCCAGCAAAGCCAGTGGCAAAGCTTCTACAGATCTCACTGCATTTCATAAAAATTTCACTTCCATGGCTTACATCCATAGCTATTAAAAGCCAGCTGTACTGCTCGTTTTGAATAAAATGTGGTAGATATTTAAATTGATACAATTTGTTGCATTTATAGTATTAATAAAGCTAAAGACTATAAAAAGAAGCCGTTTGGGGAAAATGAAATCCTTCTGAAACTAACACAGGACAGATGTTTCTTCTCCTACTGACAGTCAGCAGTTCATAATAATGGAATTTGTTCCCTTTTTAATTAAAAAGGCTAGTGTTTGTGGAAAGGTGAACAAGAATGGACGTTTGGCAAAGGATCTTAAAGTGTTCTTTGAAATAGGTCTGTTTTATTTCCACACTCACAGCTGCTCGTAAGTCTCAATCTCTGAACTGACTCTGCTGCTTTCGTAATTAAATACGATATATCACCTTATCTTCTCCCTCTGGATATCACTCAGCTTTGAATGCTCTGTTATGCAACTTAGTCTGCTCATAGATGGGTGACTATGGGCGACACGGGCCCGTCCGGGTTGAATGCGTTTCACTTGCTGGAAAGCAACTGGGAACAATTTCCTATTCGAGGGTTACCCACTGTCATTTTGCATCAGGCAGAAGCAGGCGACTCTCCCTGCTGGACATCCCGAGGGTAAATGAAACTAGTCCACCCTGAAGAGTGAATATTGCACAGGGGCCTGTGCAGCGTTTCCATTCGGCACAGTATACGTTTTAATGTATTTATAAAGGAGACCGAAGCATCAGGCTGCGTGAGTAAGGAGCGTACATCACCGTAAAGGAGAAGACTCATTTTCAGCATCGCTCCGTCAGCAGCAGGGGAAGAAAACCATGAAACAAGGCTGCTTTCGGACACGTTCGTTGCCTTTTGCGCACCTCTCCGTGGGCAGCCGACGCTTTCCAGCGTTAGGCAGGTCAGAAGGACTGAAAGCGTCTATTCACCCCCTCCCGCCACCTTCCCCTGCAAATCTGCCCCCAAGGAAAGGAGTCGAGGGAGGAGATTTCTCGAAGTGTGTGGGCGCATTTCGCATGCAGTGGAGCAGAAGGACCATCGCAAAAGTTTAAAAACCGGAGGCCAGAGGAGAGCCTGGCAAGAAGCGTGAAGGTAAATGCGGGAGAAGTTGAATGCC